TCAGCACTGCAGTTTACTTGATCAACAGAGAGTCATCCGTCCCACCAGACTGTGAACTACCTAAGGAGATTTAGAGCGGTAGAGAGATCAAATTTTCTCATCTTAAAACTTTTGACTGCCTTTCTTATGTTCTAATCAATCCTAATGCTCGTAGCAAGCTTGAGGCTAAGTCAAAGTAATGTTATTTCATTGGCTATGAAGACAAAGCATTTGGCTATTATTTTTGGGATGATTAGGATCGGAAGCGGAAGATTATCAGAAGCAGGACTGTGATATTAAATGAGAAGATGAAGTACAAGAACAAAGCTAGTATAAATTCTGAAACAGCTCCTCAAGAATCAGAGTTCGTAAGGTTTGACGATCTACCAGATGTCACAGTACAGGACAGAGATGTGAATGAAGAAGAGAGTGGGTCTGGGGCTCCCATCCCTATTATTCCGGAGCCAGATTCAGAGTCATTCACGACTCCAGCTACAGATCGCAGATCAGTCAGGAGCAGGCGTTCTCCACAACGTTACTTACCAACTTTGAACTACATCCTACTGACAAATTGTGGAGAAGCACAGAGCTATTAAGAAATATTGGCAGATGAGAATTCTAGCAAGTGACAGCTGACCATGAAAGAGGAGATGGATTCCCTATTGGTAAATCAGACATGAGAGCTGACAAAACTTCTCCCAGAGAAGAATACATTGCACAACAAGTGGGTGCACCGGGTGAAGACTGAGTTTGATCGTAGTAAGAGGTACAAGGCTAGACTTGTTGTACATGGCTAGACTTGTTGTAAAAGACTTTCAGCAGAGGCAGGTCATTGACTATTCTAATATCTTTTCTCCTGTGGTTAAGCTCACAACCATCAGAATGGTGTTGGTCATGGTTGCTACTGAAGATCTATTCCTTGAGCAGTTAGATATGAAGACAGTTTTTCTTCATGGAGATCTTGAAGAAGACATCTACATGCACCAGCCTGAGTGATTCGTGGTACAATGAAATGAATATTTAGTTTGCAAACTGAAGAAGAGTTTGTATGGCCTGAAGCAATCTCTAGACAGTGGTACCTAGACAGTGGTATAAGAAATTTAACAATTACATGCACAATGCGAGGTACAGCAGATGTCAGGCAGATCACTGTTGCTATCTCAGGTACTTTGACAACTCTTATATCATCCTACTATTGCATGTAGAAGATATGTTTATTGTAGGGGTCGATATTGATGAAATCAATAATCTGAAAAAGCAGATGTCAAAGCACTTTACAATGAAGGATTTAAGAGCTGCAAAGCAAATTCTTGGTATGAGAATTGTCAAAGTTCGAGTCAGAGGCACATTGAGGTTTTCAATATAGATAAGGCCAAACCAGTTAACACATGTTTGTGTAGTCACTTCAGACTCAGCAAAAATCAACCTCTCAAGTCAAAGGAGGAACGAGACTACATAAGTAAGGTTCCTACGCTTCAGCTATTGGTTCACTGATGTATATTATGGTTTGCACAATACCCACTAGAGCTCATGTAGTGGAGTTGTGAGCAGATACATGAGTAATCCAGAGAAGGAACATTGGGAAGTTGTGAAGTGGATCTTGAGATACCTAAGAGGCTCCTCAGAAATCTTCTTGTGTTTCTCAGGAAAGAGCTTGGAGGTACAAGGCTTTTTCGATGCATATTTAGCTGAAGACATTGACAGCAAGAAGAGAACTACAGGTTATATTTATACTCTTGGTGATATAACAGTGTCATGGGGCTCAAATTTACAGAAGACAGTTTCATTGTCCACAACAGAAGCTGAGTACATTGCAGTGTCAGAGGCTGGAAAGGAGATGATGTGGCTACAAAGTTTCTTGAAAAAATTCAGTAATGGGGTTCAAAGGGGCACTCTCTACAGTGACAGTCAGAGCGTTATATTCCTTGTCAGAATTTCAGCATTTCAATTCATAACCAAGCACATTCAGATCAGGTATCACTTCATACGATCATTGTTAGATGACAAAAAGTTACTACTTGAGAAAATTTATAGAAACAAGAACTATGTTGATATGTTGCAAAAGATGTTACACTTGAAAAATTGAAGTTATGCTAGATTTCAGTTGGTCTTCTAGCTTGAAGACAGGGGCTTAAGTTGCAGAGGTAGAGGATATCATGTTTGAAGAAAATACTTGAAAAATTGAAGTTATGCTAGACTTCAGTTGGTCTTCTAGCTTGAAGACAGGGGCTTGAGTTGCAGAGGTAGAGGATATCATGTTTGAAGAAAAAGGTGACACAACTAGTGGATAGAGCAGTCTGCATCTCAGTCTCCAAGTGGGAGAATTGTTGAGTGGTGGAGCCCGGTACACAAAATCAACTAATCAAAATTACTCCTTCCTTTTCAAGCATCGCATGGATCCCACCAAACTCCTCTCCGCGGTCCCGCCTTTCTCACGCGGAATCGCGTTCCCGCATGAAGCTTCCTTCGTGAAGCTTCTCCATTTCCTTAAATGGAGTTCTTTGGCTTGTTATAAAAAGCCTGCCAGAACTCATCCCAAGGCTTAACTCTCTTTGGCTGAAGCATGCAAAAGAAAAGGGGAAAGAAAAGGCTGCTCCCTTTCTCTTTCCTTCGGTTTTCAAACAGGGAAAAAGAAATCTTGTTTTCCTTTTTCTGTTAATCTTCTCACGTGGTTTTGGTAGAGAAGTGAGGAGAGAGAGGGGGGGAGGGAAAAAAAGAGGAAATGAGAGAAAAAAAATAGTTTTTTCTTATAAACGTCGATGGACTCAACGGTGTAATTCCTCGAAGTAATAAAATTCTTTACAGCTCCGTTGACGTAGTCAAATATGCCGAACCACGTAAATCTGTGTTATTTTCTGGTTTGCAATTTTCGATCTGATTTTTCGCTTTATTGTCGTTGTTTTCATTAATAGAAGCAAGATGGCAACAAGATGTGCATATGCATCTGAGCTTGTACATGAACACATTGAGCGTAAGAGCCACATGTCGTGTGTTTGTTTTGATTTGAGGAAGAGAAATTTGGAGTCATTCAATTTAGCTTGAAGCTAAGTAAATCCTAATCTAAACTTTCTCTTCTCTTTTTGCCAACATTAAAGTAATTTAAAACCCCAAATCTATGCATACTGAATAAGAAAATGAAGAAAGTTTTGTTTTAAAATTTAGAAGGTATGGTGCTCAGTTTAAACGAATAAAAAGTGAAATATTATCACTCTAAAAGATTTTAACCTGTAGAAAGAAATTTGAATATTAATATTTTTAAAGTGGTCATATTTAATTATGTAATTCTAAATATTATTGAGTGATTTAGGATAGATAATGTTAAACAAAATTAGAAAACTAAAAATGTAGAAAGGAAATAGAAATCTGAAATTTATTGGATAGCTAAGTTAATTATAGTTGAAATTGAAATTAAGAAATTAATATTCATAAAAGTTGAAATTTCACATACTTTTTGGATTGATCTTTTGCCTTTTGTCAAAGAGAAGAAGATATGGACATCCCTGGCCAATTTCAACATTTCAGACACACCAACAAAGTCCATTTTGTTGACCAAGCAAGTTTCAAATGATTTTAGCATATAATACGTCTCAATCCCAGTTTATGCAATACAACAATTATTACTCATCATTTATGTCATCATTGCCGCATTCAATCATGCCATAATATGAAGCAGATATGAAGGACAACAAAACGCACTACTCATTTGTATGTACATTGTTCTAAAGAAAATGGAAGAGCATAAGCTAAATGCACAATCTTCTAAATATGAATTTTGGTTGCTAGGTGTGCCTACCTTAGGAAATATTATAGATGGGGAAGGTATTTTTGCAGATCATTAAAATGTCAAAAAATTAATATATTGGCCAAAACTATCCAGTGTTCTTGAAGTTTAAAAGCTTAAAATTTTGTAAAAAATATTTTATAAAATTGTTTTGCCACTATCGAGTTAATATGATATCAAAAAATTACATTTAGATTCAGTATCTATTCTTACCGCCCTTCTAATAATGAGGTTATGGTGAATCATCACATCAGATTTGAGATGTATTTTGAAGCAAAATCATAAGATGGTGAACTATGCCGTTTGATACCTCAAGGTGCATGGAAAAAATTATCCTGCTGAGCTTGCAAAAATGAATTTTATATTGAAAACCTAATAAGACATTATCTCTGTGAAGCGTTATGTAATGCTTTTGTAAATAGAAGTGTTCAAAAAATTATTTTGCATTGCAAGAGTTGAACCTGAGGCCAAGATCTTGGTTAGAGTTTTAAAATGTTTATGATATACATATTCAATATCATCTTATGAAAATGAATGTATTTGTAGATGCTCTGAGCAAAAAGACTTGTATGAACGTAGTTTGGTTGATTATTCAAAATGAGTAGCTAATGCATGAAATGGAACAACTTCAATTAGAGGTCATAGGCCAAATACATTATTTTACTTTATAAGAATGTTAGAAGACCTCAAACCTATCTCAGAAGACTTTCAGCTCATAAATACAAGAAAGTTACAAAGCTCAAATCTTGATTAGGGAGGATTCTAATCCCACATGTACAAGACTTCGTAAGAGCACCTAAAACCTTTTCTCAAAACTTGTTCAACCCACAAGTATGTAACAAAGCACAAAGCTCAAGTATTTGCTCTTACTAAGTGTTGACCCATGTGTGTAAACTTGGAGAAAGAGTTCAAACTGAACCAAAGAGTTTTTCGATTCACAAGTATAAGTAGTAAAACATAATTAAAATTTTATATCAAGAGGAGGGTTCAAACCCCAAAAGGTTCCAAATCACATTGTCACTACAATACCATATACTTCCTTGTTGTGGGGGTCAAGCGAGTGGTAATTTTTAAATTTCATTAAAAAAGAGTCTGCCATTTGAGACATAATTTCATTGATTTGACGAATGGAAAAGAACTTTAATCTTAGAGTTTTCCTTCATGATGATTATGATTGTACAATCAATCAAAGTTAGTTGGATAAGGTCAATGATTGCTGTACAAAAAAATCAGCACAAACCTGGTGTGTTCATTGTAACGAGCATAACAGAAGTTTGCTGCATTTGGCATGTTACAACCCAGATGAGAACTGACATTCAAAGACAATAAGAAAAGAATGAAATTAACTGGTATTTTCTAAATTACTTTACAAAGAAAAGTTTACAATGTACTTCAGATTTAAAATTTATAAAAGGGAAGATCATTCTCAACATAGCAAGTCTATCCGTAGCTGAAAGCAAAGAAATTAAGGATACATTTCACCTGGATTCTTTTGTCAGATCCTACTCATCTCTAGGTTCTCCATTTGACAAAAAGATGTTACAGGTCCAGCAATTTTTTTCATGCATGCTGGGTCCCTGATTTATAGATTATGCTAGTTGCACCTATTGATTATTGAGCTTATTGAAATGGCTAAAATTTCCATATTAAACAAGGGCAAGCGTCAGAAAAATAAGAACTGCCCAGGAGCCTCTCTTAACCAGGCTTCTAGACCATCTTCTTTCAAAACTTAACCCAATGATTCCCATAAGCTATACCTTCTAACAATGAGTCTAGCTGCTTAACAATGTAGGCTAATAAAGATGTTCAAAGCTGGTTAGCATAGGGTGTTCTTTATGCTACAGACATATTCGAAGCAATTGTGCTTTATCCACTAAATAGTACTGTAATTTCACAGTGATGGTTGTTACTGTTTTAATCATGTTCAATCGCATCTTAATAAGAGATGCGCTGCTTGTTTGAACTTTTTGGTCCTCAGCTCATGTCAAATCGATGCAATCAAGCCAAATTTTTCATTCATTCCGAATTCTACCACTATTATAAGCGTCATTGTTGATAGCTAAATCTTACACTCACTAATGGTGACCAAAAGATGAAATGCATCCGCAACATTGGACATGATAAAGAGGTAAATCTCAGCACTTTTGATGAACCTTAAAAGTCCAAATCAATCAAATATGTTTTATGCTCTCGAGAGAAAATTTTCAATGTCCAAGTAATTTGCAAAAGAAGATGATGTAAAAATAAGCATAAAAAATAACTATTATTATTGCATCGACTAACAAAACATCAACAAAGAAATAACAACTAATGAAGAATGAACCACTACATGAGCAAAGACTATCCAAATCCAATATAAGAACAGGTAAAAGCTAAACTCAAGTACATAATACACTAAATGCTGTTGAAAACATCACTCATATGACAATAGTCCACCAAACAACTAGGTAAAACTGCTATAAGAAAAAAATTACGACAAATAAATTTTACGTTTTAAACACAATAAAGAACTCCTATTATTAAAGCATAAACGACAGTATAATATGAACAATAAAAGTTGTACAATTTACAATAAAATATAAGTATAATGAATTATCATCCCATCAAATTAGAATAGTATTGCATGGCATCAATGATTACAAGCATCAATTGTTTTAAAATAATTTATAATATGGTGATGTTCATAATCATTTATGTAAAAACAATAATCAATAGATTTCTATGCTAACATATCAATGTATAAACACCTCAAGAATATTAGTATATATCTAAATATCATTACTAAATCATCTATCATATCACTTTTATATGTACACTCATATTCATGTGCAAAACTACAATGGCGTACTGAGAGGCATATTCATGCGCAGAACTACAAAGGGGGCTTGGGGGCACTAAGAGCGCGTACCCAAGTGACTCCTCAATAAATTAAATTTAATAAAAGTATATATATATATATAATATTGTAACTATCATACCCTACCAAGCACACTACCATAATTTTGCAAGCCGTAACAATGATAAAGCCAAAGCTAGGGCTGCAAATGAACAGAGTCGAGGAGGAGCCTGTTGAGCTTAAGCTCATTTGTCAAGATGTTGTTTAAAGTCAACTCGATTCAGCCGAACTCATTTATTAATATGTCATTTGAGCTCGACTCCAGCTCTGTTCATATGAAAATTATCAAGCTTATTCATTTCACAAATAAATGATTCATGAGCTTTAGGGAATAGTATTCACCAAAACTTCTTCGAGCCCATTTACAAAAAACTACTTTAAGATCGGCTCAATTCAAGCTTTTGAGATATTATTCGTACCCGGTTCCTGTATCGAGGAGAGCCACCTGTAAATGAATACTAACTCGTTGAATGTTAATAAATCAAAATAATATATTTGAGATCATAAATTATTTTTACATTGAAAATAGTTTTCAAACACATAATAAAATCATACTCTTCTTGTTTGCACGCACATGTGGTGTTCCAAATGCATAAGCAGTTGAGCTATGCTTTTTAATATAAACGATAGTAATAATATGTTATTTTTTATGTGGGACTAATTGTATAGAGGGTAAACATTAACAGAAACCTTTCACGTGAAAACTACACATTAAAAAATCAACAAACAAAGAATGTGGTTCGCCAACATTTATATATTTTTTAAATTTTTTATTTTATTTTTTTACTTTAATTCTCCTTTCTCCCAAAGTATACTTGTATCGAATAAAAAAGCAATATTTTTTAAAAAATTTTGACCAAATTTAATTATTTTTATATTTAAAATACAAAAACTATTTTAAATTTTACATAATTTTTTTATTTGTTATTTCTTCTTTTTTAATTTAATTTTTTATTTGTAGGAGGATCTTTTTCTTCACTTCCTTTTTCTTTGTGTAAGAGAGAGTTCATCTATTCCATTCTTTTCCCCTCTTTGTAACACCCCGGGCCTGGAAGGTGCTACACCCTGGCATGACATTATGAAATGAAATAGATTAGTTTTGTATTTTCAAATAAAGACTTGCATTACAGATTAAAAATTTTATAAATTTTATTAATCATGAAAGTACAATGATATAACTTGGACTGAAAATAGAAATTTAATTGAATCAAAACATGCTGGACAACATGAAACAACTACCCAAACCAAATAAAAAAAATTAATAGCTAAAACAAAAAACTAAGAAAAAATACTAAACCTGCGAAACTATAACTAAAATGTTTGCTTCGGTGGAGACGGTTCTATTGGTGGCAGAATAGAACTTGTTATGTAAAAATCAAGAATGAGTTTAACAAAATCAATAAATAGCAACTATCTATTAAAGCGTAAATGACAAGGGGAATGGGGCATGCAGTATGAACAATAAGAAAGAATCACTAAGTGCATATGTAACACTAAAGACCAACAAGAGATTAGTAAATATCAAATATGCATATCATACAAAACATGCAATTATTTTCAATCAAATTTCTTATCATTTCACTTTTATTTATATTTACATGGACGGTTTTAATAGACATCCCGAAACCGGAAAGGTAAAATACCAACCCAAGGAACATGGAGTCGTCATTCTATTAGGTCGTTGGCCCTGCTAAAAAAATTCCAAAAGGGTTCTACCCACCCCAGCAAAACAGGGCATGATGAAATGAAATAAACTTGTTTTATATTTTCAAATAAAGACGTATTGCAATAAAAAAAATGTGAAATTTATTAATTGTGAATGTTCAATGATACAACTTTAACTGAAAATAGAAATTTAGCTGAATTAAAACATAACATGAAACAATTAACCAGACCTAGCAAAAAAAATACAATAGCTAAAACAAAAACTAAGGAAAATTATCAAAACTGGGAAACTATAACTAAAAAGCTTGCTCCGGTGGAGATGATCCTACTGGTGGCATAACAGAACTTGTTATGCAAAAATTAAGAATGATATTGACAAAATTAGTAGATAACAGTTATCTATTAAAGCATAGATGGCAAGGGGAACGGGGCATGCAGATGGACAAGTAAAAAATAATCACTAGTTGCATATATAACACTGTAAGACCAAAAAGTGATGAGAAAATATCAAATATTCATATCATATGAAACATGCAATTATTTTCAATCATTTTTATTATTTCACTTTCATTTATATTTACATAGTCAATTTTAATAGACGCCCTGAAACTAAGAAGATCAAATATCAACCCAAAGAAAATCGACGGTTTCCCGTAGAGTCATTACTTTGTGGGCCCGTCAGCCCAGCTAGCCAAAATTCAAAAAGATTTTACCAACCTACATACCATCACACACAAACATGCAAATTTATTTTCACTGGTATAATATGTAAGATGTATATAATTTTACAAAGGCTTATGATATAACATAAATCCACATGCAGATTTATAGAATGCAAGAATATGAAAACACTATAATTACAGGATTATTCAAATATACAGCAATAAATTAAGGCAATTGGTAATTTCATCATAAACAATACAATAAGCTTGAGTGCAACATTATAATTGAAGTAGCAAGAGCAGGACTGGCAAAACATAACAATTGATTTGATTCTACTACAATTAACAAAGAATAACGCCCCTAACTAGGAATGGTGTGTTTATCCTCTAATAGGTAGTTACCATCTGCTTGCCTTAAATCCTAGGTTAAGGAAACCGGCTCTCAATGCAGAAACCGTTATACTTCTACGAATTCGACAGCTTGACGAGTCATCCACAATTTAAATAATTATCAAATTAGCATTATTTATTTACTAAATTAAGTGCAATCAAATGACCCTTCTTATTATCATCGTTACTATTAAATTATTATTATAGTATTGTAAAATAAAGAATGGTAAATTAACCCAAGAAAACTCATTCAAGCTTATAAGTTCTTAAATTATGTTTTCCATGTGCTTGCCTTAAATCCTAGGTTAAGGAAACCGGCT